AGACCGTCGGAATGTAGCAAGACCAAATTAGGTTAACTCACCAAATTGTGGCTTGCTAAGTGCTTTAGCAAGCCACCCGCCCCGAAAAATTAGTGGTCTATTTGGTTTATCATTTTGATAATAACCAAAACTGGAAGTTAAAGCAACATGCACTTTGTTGTCATATGTTTGAGAACGGTACATCATTTAAAATGTAAGCTACTAGTGCCATTAACTGAGTAGAATGCATCCTTTTTGTGTCACAGTAAAATTATTCTAACAGAAGGTTGGTCATTCAAAAAAGAAATTTATGGTAGGCAATACCTTGATTACAGGAGTTTGAAGGCAGACATTCCAATCAACGATTCAGACGCAAATAATTTTGTTGTGCAAAAGAATACTTTAATCCTGAAAAAGACAGTTTCAGCTTCAAAACTGCCACTACCGCCATTTGCACGATAGATTTGTTAATTTTCTGGAAGTTTGACTACGAAATTAGCCACCCGATACTTCAATCGCATTTCAGTGATTACTTTTGCCTTTGTAGTTAAAATAAACTATTTTCCCGAACTTTTCTCCAATATAGCTGCATCAGTAGATTTGTAGTCTGAATAAGGTAATTTAATAATCATAAGCGGTCTGAACACAAAATAAAGCGCCGTGTCTGCCACCATTAATTTCATATTTGCTCCTAAATGCAAAGGTATATAAAGTGAAATGTGGCTGCGCGACTTTGCACACATTCAATTAGGAAGTTGATTTGCAATGCAAGCTGAGTCAGTCTTATTGGAATTGATCACGGCCCCCGGCTCGAATCAGAAGGCTGTGTGCGTCCTTAGTTGCGTTATCTTAGGAATGCCTGACAGTTACCAGCCAGTTGATAATCGATTTAAACCAATAAATTACTAGTGTTAAGGATTTTGTCGTTGAAAGGTGTGGTCAAGGGGGGTAGGGAAATTTGTCGACAAAGTCATCTTTTGAAGGTCGAGCAATGTGTTTAGAACCACTTAGAACCACCTTAGGCAGCATTGGAAGCCAAAATGTCATCCGTAATTCCATTGCTACTGGCACAAGAATCATTCATTTGCTGTCTCTTAGTTTTCTTTATTAGTATTGGCATTGAACATAGTTGTGACACTTAGTCTATGATATTGGTGGGGCCAGATGTATAAACAAGGTAAAATTGTATTCTTTGGACCATCGTCTTTAAAGCTGGGATTCGATTACCTTATTTAACGCCGAGGACATTTGGTCCGAACAAAAATCGAACATTTCTACTCACATAAAGTTGAGTAAATCAGTTTTCAAAAGAAATCGCACTGAGCTCAGGGAAAATTCGGCCTTATGCACTCGGATGACCTACGATGAAGATCAGGGACTAATCAGAGACAATGAAAGTGAGATGCGTCAACCAGAGGTACTAAATTATAATCATTATTTCTCTCCTAATCTACTTGCTTCCTATATTTTGGCACAGGTAAAGATGCAAGAACACCGTTGACCTCAGTTGAAGATACCTAGTATCTAAACGCAAGAAGTCGCCAAGATATCTAAGAATGCACGCAACGAAATCACTTTGAGGGACATGAAGGGCAACATTAGGTCTAAAAAAAGAAAGCACATATCACAGATAATTCCTGAATATACTTTTGCATTTACTACTTGAAGTCAACTGTACTCCTGCATTGCTGCCTATGCAAAAATTTAAAAGTAAGAAGATTAGGAGAGAAAGATTCAGTAATTAAACATACAGGACTATCTCTCCTCGACAAATAATAAAAATAATAATTAACTATAATTTAATACCTATGGTTGATGCAAGTGGCTTACTGATGGTCTTTCCAATCTTTAATTGGAGTTTGAGTAGTTATTACTTATTTGTCAACCCGAGACACTCATCGAAAGTGGTTTTGCAACTTCCACATTGACACAATCAAATAATGAAGTAGCAGGATTTTGGTTTGGTATATGGACTTAGGTGAACACCATCTTAGTTCTTAGTCCAAGTGAATCGGTTTATATAAACTCGTTTGTCTCAGATTTACTAGAAAGTAAACGACAATGTAATTTGGTTTTGCTGAGCACTTTCGTACTTGGTGCATTTTACCGTCATTTCTCTTCCTAAATTACAACTGCGCTATGTTGTCATAACTTCCTTCTTCATTCAGAATAAAAGGAATGTGCAAAAATAATTTCAGAATTAGTCCCAATGTAATCTCTTTGAACTTGATAGGTTACATTGACCCTTCCTTTCTAAATATATTACCAATAATGCAAAAAGCCCTTATTTTCGATCGCATTCTTTAATACCGCATTTAAATATAATGTAGATAATGCTGGTTGTGTGTTCGTAAGTCCAAAGATGAGTGACGTAATATATTCGAGTGTAGAATGCCCAAATCATGGCGTAAAGAAGACGGGCACACCAGTGCAGGCTTTTTAAACTACCATAACCGTCCGTCACGTGCTGTCTATCCAAACCCTTTAACCTCTGGTCCGTTCAATATTCATCTCATTTATGTCAATTTAGTTGCTGATCCTCTGAGTAGGTCAAAGAAAGAGGATTGGCTAACCTTGGTGTGATCCAATACCCGAGCCCTAGTATGAAGAAGACTAGTACAGCAGAACAGGCTTTATTGACCAATCAAAAGCCAGAAGCACACGTCAGCCGCCTTCCATCCGAGTCCGCCACACTGGCCACGCAAACTCGTTATATACTGCACCTCATTCGTTGGCTGCTTATCTCCTCGCATGCCATTGGAACGCAGAGCGACACGGGATTGGCTGAGGCCAGGTGGTCCAACATGTCTGCGCCCAAATTCCGGCGCCACTATAGAATACCCGAGCCCTAATAGATAAAAGACCGGTACAACAGAACAGGCCCTTATCGACCAACCAGAAGCCAGAGCCACGCGTCAGGCGCCTTCCATCTGAGTCCACCACGCTGGCCACGCCGCTCATTATATACTGCATCCCATCCATGTCTTCCTCTGGTTGGCTGCTTACCTTCCTCGAATGCCATTGGAAAGT